ATCCTAGACCAGGTACACTTCAGATTCTAACAAGGCTTGGTCTTCCGGTGGAATTCCCCCCTTGGTGCGGTTGCAGCTGAAAGGCTGCCTGGGGTGGTTCAGCGTGGACTTGGGAGGTGCCGGCCACTGAGGGACAGAGGCTGGGAGGAGGGGTGTACAGATGCGGGGCTAATTGGCACCCACCACCAAAGAGAACAGAGTGGTGGCTGTCAACACTGTGGTAGTCTTTCCTAGGAGGTCATTTTCTGTCTTGTACATCCTTACAGAGCCACCCGTCCCCCCCAAAAAAGTCTAAACCTGGAGCTCGTTCACCTCCATTCCCCTGGAAGCCCGCACTTAATCTGCTATTGTAAGAGCAAAACCCCACTTGTGAAGGTTTGGACGCAGAGCACAAAGCAGGAACGTACAGTTGCCCAGGGGTTTCTGCAAACTTGGTTTTTGTTGTTGTTTTGAGAAGTTCACACTAGAGGGTTCGAAGACACGCGAGCTCTGACGGCTCAAAATGAGTTCCACAAACCTCGTCTATTCGGCCGGCAGTGATATAAAGCAGCAAAGAACCGCCTCCATCCCCCAGCTGGCCTCTGGTGGGAAAAACAGGTTTGCGGGGGTGGCAATTGTCTCCATTAGCTGTCCAGAGTCTTTAAACCATTTGGGTGACTCACTTTGTTTTCAGAGACAGGTTAAAAGGGGAGAAAAAAGAAAGAGTCGGTTATGGGTCGTCTGAGCAAGTGTGGATTTCAGTTTAAAGTGAATTGGAAAATTGAGCCTAATTATCCCGGGTAATTGCTTCAATTCTCCACTTGACTTTGCTAACGTAGATCTGTCCTGTGTGTTCCAGGAGACACCCCCCCCCCTTTCTGCCCCTGCATATCCTGCTGTCCCCTTTGAAAGATGCCGGTAGAAAACCACCATATCATCGAAAAGCAATCGTTACATGGAAAGAGATGACAAAAAGGGAAAGAAAAACAGAAGCTGAATTCACTGAAGAGATTGTTTCTTGTAGCTTAAAATTAATTTATTTAACAAATATAGCTATAATATAAATGATAATAAAATTTCAAATATACAGTATATTACATACTACACAGTCCCTTCCAAAGGGATTCTTGAGAGCCACGCAATGAACTGTTAAATAGAAACAGAATTTTTTTTTAACTTTTTTTTCTGGTACTGCTGACAGAGGTCACCTTCAACCTACCTTTGTAATGCATCCGTGTGCCCCCCCCACCCCCGCCAAGCAAATGTTTTGCAAATGTTTCTCTTAAGTTTTCTGTCGGAAAGTTAAGATTCTTCTGCTGCTTCAACACATTCTTCTCTCTCTCTCCTCGTCTGTCCTTCTTTCCAACACTGTCTCACATGGATTTCTCCGGGCTTGGCCTGTCTGGTGCAGAACAGGGGGTAGGGATGTAGACTAGCCTCTAGGCCTGGTTCAACCACTGGTTCTGCTGGGAACTTTGAATTACCCTCTCACCCTCTCTGGCCTCAGTGTCCCCATCTGCAACGTGAGGATGTAGAGCTAGGTTCCAGAACAATGCTAAGGCCTCTTCCAGTCATTTTTAGGGACAGGATCTGACCTCGGAGATAGAAACACGGGGAGCAACTGGAACAGTGTGGGAGTAGGCGGAAGGGACCAGGAGGTGCGGAACAAGGTAGCGGCTAGGGGCGGCTCCGGCCGCTTGCAGATAGCCCGCCCGGGTGGAAGGAAGGAACCGGCTGGCACGGCGCGCGTGGGCGCTCCGGAGACCTCTATGTCAGGTGGTACATACTGTAGCCTACATGGGCCGTGTACAGTCCCACCGGAGCCACTGGCAGCGCGGCACGCTGGAAGGGGCCGGAGGCTCCGTACAGCGAGGCGCCGGCTGCCGCCGCCACGGCCGCGGGGCCGCCGAGCGGGAAGGAGAGGCCGAAGGCAGCGGGCGGCAACATAGGCTTGGCGGCCATCTTCAGCTTCTCCAACTCCGCCTCCTGCAGTCTCTTGGCCTTGGCGCGGCGGTTCTGGAACCAGATCTTCACCTGTGTCTCAGTGAGACTGAGCGAGCTAGAGAACTCGGCGCGCTCGGCGATGGACAGGTACTGCTTCTGGCGGAACTTGCGCTCCAGCGCCAGCAGCTGAGCGGTGGTGAAGGGCGTACGCGGCTTGCGGTTGGTCTTGTGCTTGCGCAGGGTGCAGGCCGGGGGACTCAGGCGCCCTAAGGTCCGGGAGAAAAGAGGCAGGGAGTTAAAGAGCGGTTCTGGAGCGTGGCCTGCCCATAAAGTAGTAACAATCGGCAGCAATAGGAGCTCTTGCTTCCGAAGGGTCTGGGTGCCAGGCACTGAGCAAGGCCCTTAGAGCATAGGACCTCCGACTGCCACCACAAGCCTGCAGGGCCGAGGTTCGCATCTACTTTTTGCAAACGCAGAAAATGAAATTCTAGGTGAAAGGAGTCACATTCGAGGCTAGCTTGCCGCTTCCACCGGCCTTCCCCAGGAACCTCTTCCCGCGGCCGCGCATAGTTAGGCGGACGTTAACCGGGAAGAGGGACCTGTTAGGCCCAGCACGAGGGCGCATTTAATTTTATGCATTTGTCAAACGTTTATTGGTGCCCAAGTGCTCTGAGCTGGTCTAGGCCCATGCGCCAGAGAATCCAGGGCTGTCCACGCTCAATTCCACGGGCCTACACATTCTAGGCACAGTCCCAGTTCCATGGAAGCGCCGTGACACCCCCTGTCATGGAGTTGGAACCATAGCGCTGTCTCTTAAACATCAAGTGTCCCTTGGAGCAAAGGAGGAAGCTCTTCATTCCACCAGAGCTTCTTTCCCTAATTGTCCGAACTGTCGCCGGGGCCTCAGCCAGCACCTCTGCCCACCAACCCCCAGCACACTCGGATGGGGGGGGGGTGCAGTGGCTTCTCCCTGACCCTTGGTTTAGCCGAAGGGACCAACCATGCTCAGAGGTCTTTTTCTCTTGATGTCAAAGTCAACCAGGCGGTGTGCAAGGCCTGTGCAGAGGGCTCGCCAGGATGGGGGCTAGGTGGCTCACCCCTGCCACGACAGGCGGCCGCAGCAGACAGGAGTTGGAACCAGTTTTTCCCAGGCCAACCCGGATCGCCCGGACATTGGGACCTCTGCCGAGGCCTTACCCGAGACGCTTTGCCTACGCAACTGCGGGCAGGCCTTGGAGAAAAAGTTAAGTCCAATTAGGCTGCTTCCCCATGCGGGTTTCTGCCTAATCGCATTTTATTTCTCGCTCTTAAAAACAAAACAAAACAAAACAAAAAGAAGAAAGCGCTCCTCTGGGCTCCCAGACCACCAGGATGTGACTCAAAACGAAATCTCGTGTTCACATCCCCCCTCTTCCCCGCTGGAGGCCAGTTCAGTCCGGGAAGTCCTTGGCCCCCGACTCGCTTTCCGCCCGGCTGCCCTAGGGCGGGCGCGAAGGCAAACGTCACTCCCCTGGGCAACGACGGCCCAGCGCTGGGTCACCTTCTCTGGCCATTAGGCCCAGGGAGGGGCTGGCCTTTCAAAGACATTTAAATCCCAGATAAAAATCATTCCTAAGGACCACGCCATTGAATTCGGGCCGCTATTATGCTGCGCAAAATAATCGGAGGAAACGAGGAAAACTTGGGAACTTCCGTGCTCCTGAAATATCTGCGAGCCGGCTCGTTGGGCATCGGCGCTGGGGCCGCGAGGCCTCGGAACGACCCCGGGATGCGCCTTTGGCGGCTGGAGTCCGCTCTCACCGCCCGGTACCAGATGTTTGGGAAGCTCCCGGCAGGATTGGAGGGGGCGCGGCCCGGGATCGATTTGCCCCCCCCAATGGAATCTAAGACACCCCCCCATTCATCCATTCACCCCCAGCACGGAGTATCAGTCCCCAACCTGGAGGGAGAGGGGATTTGCAAAGTTGGCGACCCGCTGGCAAACAAATACTTTACGCGGGGGTGGCGTGAGATCGGGCTCCTACAAAGGGAAACTGCGCGCATTGGGCAGCCGCCTGCGCCCCTCGGACCCACCCATTTGGGTAAAGCTGAAGTGACAGGGCTGGGGGTCAGATGAAGGAGTGGGAGTCCCGAGTGGTATGGTGGGGTGCGGACAAGAAGAGGCAGGGCCCAAACACCCGGGTCCTACGGTCAACCCCCACGCGCAGACTCGCTCAATCAGGAGCTCGCCAAGGACGCCCACCAGGCTTCCTGCGGGCCACGGCCCCCTTCCTGGGTGGGAGAGAAGCGCAAATCTGGCCTCCAGCCTAGGCTCCCCCGCCAGGCTCCAAGTACGCGACCGCAGGTAAGCGGACGCAGGCGACTGGCCGGCGCCGGCGCGGCCTGGCGCCCCGGGGCCCGCACCCCGCCCTCCCGCCGCCGGGGTCTGGCTACTCACTGGCCGGGGGCGGGGAGAAGCGGGGGCTCTGCATCCAAGGGGTTCTCTCGGGCTTCTCGGGGCTCTCGGCTTTGACGAGCGCCTCTTCGGGCAGCTTGAGAAGTCCTCCCACCGAGAAGGGGCCGAGCGGCCGCGGAGAAGCAGGCGCGTCCGCGGCGCCCAGGGATCCGGCGCGGGCGCCCAGGGGCTGCGCCGAGCTGCCCGCCGCCGGCGCGCCCTCGGGGCCGGCCAGGGCGCTCTCCTTGACCCCGGGCTTCCTGTGGTCGGCCATGAGCGCCTCCACGCTGAAAGGCAGCAGCGAAGGGGCTGCTTTGGGCTTGGCGCCCTCCTCGTCCGCGCCCATGGCGGCGCTGGGGAGCGGGCCCCCGCCGGTCCCCGCCGGCGGGCCGAAGGCGGAGTCCTCCACTTTGACACCGAGTGGCAAAGAAGTCATGTCAGCAGCCGGGGCCATGCAGAGCCAGCCCTCCCCTGCAG